ATCGTAGATTCAGGTCTATAAACAACAATGAGTAAAATCTTTTTATGATTAGATAACATGATTTTTAAAAATAAAATTTCGAAATTGTCGTCCTCTAAATTCCATAAACGTGTACTAGCAAGATCTTGTCTTATGTAAACTAATACGCCTCCACCTCGTTTGTGCAATCGATCCTTACGAAACAACTGATAATTTGAAATAGAAACTTCAGCATCATCATTTTGTGGCTTAAGCCATGACTCAACAATAGACAATACCAAAGGTGTTTCATTTTTACATATTTCACTAACGAAATAAAATTTTTTTAAATTACTTTTCCCTGCTGTTGCTAAGATATTTCTGATATTAAAAGAATATATACTAATAGAGCCCTCCCCATCGTCGACGGCTGCATTATTATGTGTATTAACCATTATCGAGTTTTAGTTTAAATTTTGGTCTGATTCGATACTTCATCCAGATATCTCTTACATACATATAAAGAAGTTGAAATGAGGATAATTTTCCCTCTCTCTTACATATTATAACAAAATAAAACGCAAAGAAAAAAGAAAGAAAGTGGACTATAAGAAATAGACAGAAACACATACTTGTATATGTACTATATACACTTATCAATCTGAACCTGTCGAACTAATAGAAGAAAAGAAGAAAAGGACTAAACTTCATGACCTTAGAATGTTAAACAATTAGCTATCTGACTAAAAATACGTTAATTAAATACCTGTTAGAAGTTTGTCAATATCGGACAGTGTTTTTAAATGAATTACTTGATTTTCTGAATTACGATAAAATACACGACCATTCGAAGAAAATATTTGATGACGTTTACTGTTTTGAACTCTTTGTCGTGCGGTAGTAAAAATCTTAGCATTTTTTTTTGAAAGATCTTCGGAAATAATAACGTTTTTCATTGGATGATCATTACGTAATTGTCTAAAAACTGATTTACACGACAGCAATGCAAAACGACGTGGTCTAGAGTAGAAACGTGCAATCAAAACCGGTGGAAGAGGTGGTTTAGTTGATGTTGAAATTTAATTTAATTTAATCGGAGATTTCTCGCGACTCTGATGCGAATACATTTTTTTTCTCTGATACTGATGGATTAATTTTTCGTGGTCTACTTGCACCGCCACCGCTGACTTTTCCTGATGAGTTCATGACTAACGCAAGGTTTGTTTTCAAAATGTTACACAAAGATAAATGAGAAAGAAATGTTTAATACACAAACAAGAACTAAACTGATTTTGTTTCTTTCAAAAATATCTGATTCGAAGAAAAAAACAGTATCCAGAACAAACCGTCCTTAGTCACCTATTCACTAACGAAATTGTTTGTTTCTTTTCCTTTTATGATGCGTAATTATAGCTGGATGTTATCCGCAGAAGTTTAAGAGAACCCTACCTATCCTTCAGCAAAAGTGGTTTTCACAAAAAACAGTGTATTTATGCAATACGAACATTGCTTTGATCTACTTCACTTTCAGTTAATTCAGTTGCTACGCGCATTAGGATCAGTTCGTTTTCCTCCGTTCGAATAACATTCAAAAATTCTTTAAATCATTAAAAGTCCGAAAACTTTTAAATATTAGTAATCTTTTAGTTTTTACGGATAGATTGCTGGAACACAGGAATGTTCCTCTTCACAGATATGTTTTGCCGTACTTGAGCATCTGCCTGTTTTTCAATTTTATGAACATAATTCTACTGTTAAAACGTAAGCTTTCTTTCTTTTTCCTTCAAGATTGATTACAAATCACCTTCAACAAATGGCTTTTCTCCAGTTCAAAAGCGTTGAAGTCTATCCTCATGATAGTCCACAAAAAAGCGAATTATTAAAAATATTCGACAAGATAAAAACATATACTAGTTTTATTATACAAACAGATCCCGCTTTATCTATTTTAACCAATATTGCAAATGCGGTTTACGATAAAATTACAGTGGAGAATATCATAAGACCAAAACCATTATCAAACGTTATTGAATCCTCTGTCACTGAAGAACAACAACTTGAATTATTCAGAAAAATACGTCAGTTGGATATTATTTTATATGATAGCATCGCATCGATGGGAGAAGATGATACAATTAATGGGCAACAGCGTTCATGTTTTCGAAATGTTTACGGTATGACCATTCGATCTCAAAAAAAAATACCGTCTATTGTTTTAAATAGTAGATTATTAGAAGGTGAGAATGAAGCATGTACAATCGTTTTCGGTTCGATCGTTTTGCTTCATGAAATCACTCACGGCTTAGTATTTCCGGGTTTTTCATCGACACCGGCCAGAGAAGCGTTTCGATGTTATCATGATGTTGACACTTATGACGGTGGATGTTATCTGAAACATCAGATGTGTGGTGGAGAAATGTTTATTCATAAAACAAATAAAAAAATGTATTTACTGCAACAGGGTAACAAGGTCAGATTTGTCACTGGTGATCTTTTGCAGCATATTTATGATGAACATTCATTCGAAAATTTGCTTGATTATGCGAATATGGGTGAAAGCGAAAGTATGTCATTAACAAAACCTCAACCTACTGGCGAGTATTCATCCGATGTATGTATGATAAATTTACCAAATAAAACCGAAGGTGCAAAACATTGTCCTACTGGCGAATATCATAAACCATTGTGTAATTAATTTCCTTTTATCGACGTGATGTTTTTTCCTGGTGGATAATTAGTGCTAGAATAAAATTAAACTGACTTTTTCAAAAATCCTTGCTTTAGAACATGAAAACTAGACGCTATTGATGTATGGTGAAAAAGACGTTTAGCTGTTGGTAGGCTCTGTTCCAAGTGAATATGCGGTGTGTTTTGAACAGTGTCCTGCATTTTGTTTTTAGCGAAACCTCAGAATTTCTTGCTAAGTTATCTCGTTAAAAAATGCCTGTCAGCAAATGTATGGCTAACCGATCACAAGGGACATGAATAGAGCATAAACATTACTCATTAATATGTCGCTTGTAGAAAATCTCGAAAATTAGCATCTGATTTCAGAAGAAAAATAACCAGTAGAAATTTTTTGTTCGAACTAAAAAGATGTTAATGATATCAAAATATTTATTTTGGATAGCAATACGCATTTTCTTGGAAAAACGATAAAATACGCTTTGAATGGGTCTGAATCTGATTGTTATTTAGATTCAATCGTTCTTCAAATGAAATAAGTTTAAAAGAACCATTTGGATGATCTTTTATCAACACAAAGTCTATAAGTATTCTGCATTGAAAACTTGCTCAGTTTTCGGATAAAATATGATCTTTTAGAATAAAAATACATTAAAGGATGCACACAAATAAGACTTTGAAATACCCGTTTTTTATAGAAACTGATACGATCATTTCAATACTCGATGTATTATATTATTCTTCATTGTCAGAAGTAAAACATTAAAAGTCGAATTTAAACAATACAGTTCGTACGACTATCAACTATCTTTGAAAAACTTTTATCCGGCAAAGAATAGCGATTAACCGACTCTTCGATGAATGAATTTTTTCCGAACTTTCATGTTGCAACCTAACAGCAAAAATCAAGTCGTGAAAGCGTCATTTGCGGAAGAGCGTCACTTGCGACCAGCAATAGCTTTATCTCTAACCATTGCTTCATCGATTGTATCCAAACCGATACAACGTGGCCGTATCTGTGGTAATGGATCAACAGATGATGTAATATCGATTGTTTATTGATCGCCATTGTTTTATCTTTGTGAACCTCGTTTTGAAGTATTGTTATAGAGCTCTGCAAGATTACCCACTGTACGGGCCTGAAATTGTGAAACTCCTATAGGAGATGGACGTATATGCCCTTCATTTAATAGTTCAACTGGACATATCTCATAAAAATAAGTTAACGGCCTGTCCAATCGTGGCGGAGTCACGCTTTTACATTTTAAATTTGCCTTTTCTCGATCATTTTAAAAGACGAAGAGTCGCTATTTTTTCTACATGTGTGCGACCATGTGCTCTACAATACCTGAAAATATCGTTCAGTTTGG